AGCAATTCTGGCTGTCAGGACCTGAACTCCAGCATCCAGAGCTTCTTCTCCTGCAGCTAAAGCAGCAAGGAGCTGTTTTCAATTAGTCTGCATCTACGAGCCTCCTAACACTGGTGACACAAAAGAACGTTGGGATGACTGGGAAATAAGGGATGCATTTTGATTTTAGCTGTACTGGAGGGTTGACTCCTGTGGGTAACCCTGGGCCAGATCCTCAGCTGCTGGAAGGGAGCAAAACTCCAGTGTCTGCAGAGCAGCTCTGCCGGCGTGCAAACAGCCAGGCTGATTATTCAGGGGCAGGAGTCAAAAGCCAGTTTGTCCACTGCCAGCTCCAGTGACGATCACCAGCACTGCTTCCAGCAGGGTCAGGCACGAGAGAAAGACATCTCTCATCAGGATCAGGGCTGTTTGCTTTTGGAGGGGCTATGAGCCTGTGTGCAGGACGAGAGAGTAAAGATGATGGAGAGGGAATATTTCTGCTGCTTACTCCATGAGAAATAATTTCTGATTCCAAATAAACCTGCAATGTTTGTAGTCTGAATTAAGTTTGCTATTCAGCTTGTTAGAACCCCCAACACTCAAACTGTACCCAGCCAAAACTGATGGAGACACCTTTAATTTCCTACTTTGTCTTATCTGTGAAATAAAGAACTCCAGATTAACTAAATGTAAAGAACACTGGAGGCTTACAAGAGAGCTGGAGAGGGACTGGGGACAAGGGATGGAGTGACAGGACAGGGGGAATGGCTTCCCACTGCCAGAGGGCAGGGTTAGGTGGGATATTTGGAAGGAATTGTTGGCTGTGAGGGTGATGAGGCCCTGGCACAGGCTGCCCAGAGAAGCTGTGGCTGCCCCTGGATCCCTGGAAGTGTCCAAGGCCAGGTTGGACGGGGCTTGGAGCAACCTGGGATAGTGGAAAGTGTCCCTGCCCATGGCAGGGGGTGGGTCTGGATGGTATCCAAGGTCCCTTCCAACCCAGACTATTCTGGGATTCTGTGAACACTGAATTGCCACCAAAACCAGAAAAAAAAAGAATCATGGAGCTGCTCGGAAGTGCAGGCAGCAGGTCAGGACCTCAGATGACCAAACTTCCACTTGCAGAGCCAGGCAGGGAAATCGTGAGCTGCCACAGATGTATGAGAGTCTGAGAGCCCCCCAGAACAGCCACCCCCACCCCAACCATCGCTGCAGCAGCAGGACCCCCCTGGCCTGAGGGGCACCACTCCCCCAGCACAGCCCTGCCCGTGTGTGTGCTCGGGAGCCCCAGCTCCCAGGGCTCAGATATGTGTCAGCACACGCCGTGGGCAGCCAAGAAAGGAGGTCAAGCAGAAAGCAGCACTGACTCACAGCAGGCACACGGGGGGCTCCACAGCAGCTCGCACACAACTGCACACACAGCGGGGGCTGCGGCTCCTGCAACCTCCCCATCGCCTCATCTGCGCTCTGGCTCCTCAAAACCACGGCATGTTTTCAGGTAACCGTGCAGAAAGGCCCTTCTCTTGCAGCACAGACCAGGAACTGCTCCTGGTAGCAGTTAGAGCTGAACACAGAAGTGCACTGCAAATGTGGCAAGAGGAACAAACCATTGCCAAGCGCTGCCAGGGAGCTCTCACCGACACCATCAGCGCAGCAATTCACATTATCCATCACGTACACAAGATCCTGTAAGGTCCCTGGGGGGTTATTCCAGACCTGTGGCTTTAGTGACCATCCTAAGCAATTTTAGTGATTCCTATAAAGTGTCTGAAAATGGCAGATGTCAACTGTAAGCTTGAAGGGCCGAGGCACTCCTAAGAATAACAGGAACACAACTCCCTGCTACTTTCAAAGCTAAAACCCTCCAGCTAAAGCTCTCTCATCTAACCTAATAATTCACTGCAAATAACATTAAATATGCAACCTCTCTCTCAGCTCTGTTTCCTACACAACTGTGCATGTAGGACTCGCTCATCCAAACCAAATTCCCATCCCCACACACCAGAGAAGGCTCACAAATATTTACATCAGAGGAAGTTTTCACTCATGAGTTGTGTGGCAGTACCACCTCTACTTCTGGATTTTTGCCCCTCACTGTAATGTTTTAGTATAAAAAAAAAAACCCTTTCAGGTTTCTAACTACAGCTGCTACACAAAGAAAATTATAAGCAAGTTTATACTTGGGGATTTTCTTGGCTCTAAGATAAAATCAGAAGATTTTTTTGCAATGTCAAACCTGCTGATCTAACTGAAGGGATGACAGGAGCAGGCCCAGAGAGGCATGGACAATCCACTGGAAGGAACAGCTCCATTTGAAAAGGAGATACACAAAAAAAAAAAGAGATAAAATGGAAAGGAAGAACATGACAGGATAACAAAGCATAACAGAAGTCAAGTTTCTTTTCAAGTATAAAGGATAAAGGTGTCAGGCACTGGTTATTATTTGAAGAGCATCGTATTTTTGATCCTTTAATGTGAATCCAAGTTAGGAACAAAGCAGGTGAAAGGGACTACTGTGAACTTGGACAGGTGTGGGAAAACCGTTCTTTATGTAAATCATTTTTGGAAGGGAGGACAAGAAATAAGAAAAAAATTCAGGACTCCCAAGTGACCAGAAAAAACCTGCTAAGCTGCTTCCTCTTTACTGATTCCTCAGATGCACAGGACTGGCAAAGACAGCAAGAAGGGGAATGTCCCTTCAAGGACTCGGATTTCACCTCAGATCTCCTGCCTGCAAACACCCAAACAAAGCTGCGGGAGCATTAGTGAAGAGCAGAGTGTAAATCCAGAGACAATTACCCTGACACACACCAACAAAGCTAAAGGCAGGGGCTCATCTGTGCAGCACAGCCCCGAGCTGTGCAGAGGATGAGCTCACACACCCCCCTCTGCACAAGTGCAGGGAGGAGAAACCACGTTCCTGATTCCAGAGGCAACAAAGGGCACGAGAAACACCGTGTGTGTGTGTGTGTGTGAGCCAGGCCAGGGAGCAGGGAATCGTTTGCCTCATTTGTCTAGGACAACCCAAAGCACACCCACTTGTTTTCTATGGCACGGTCCAAAAATTTGAAGTTCTGAGGGAAAAACACTTTTCCTGACTTACTTCCTGTGGGCTGTTCGGGCTGGCATGAGGCATGACCCTCCCCATTACACAGAGGAGGAATTAAGCACAAATGTGTCAGGCTGAAGGGTGCCTAGAGATCTGTAAAATTTAGGGGTGTCTCGAGGTCACCTTGTGACCTCTGCTTTCGCACCCCAGCCTGAGACCTCGGCACTTCAAAGGTCCCCACAAAGCATTTGAGGGGAGAAGATGAAAGCAGCTGAATAGCAGGTTCCCAGCGCTGAGGAAGCTGCTGTCAGATTTATGGGGAAGCAGATTAACAGCAATGCCACGTGCTGAGGAGCAAAACAGCTTCACTACACGCCCACTCTCCCTGCAAAACTTCCAGCAACTGCCAGCTGGTACCTGACAGCTCTGCGAGATCCTCGCTGCCTCCACACGCGCGGGAGCTCCATCTGAACACGCCGGCCGTGGGAGCAGAGTCTGCACCCAGCTCAGCCTGCACAGACCACCACGGCACTGAGAGGCTGCTTTCCAACACCAGAGCCTGCTGTGAACACCTGATTTTCACAGCACATCGGGGTGGCACTAAGGGGTCTGTACTGATCTCCCTACTCCGCTGCACAGTCCTCTGGGTGAGCCCGGACACGGAACTTCTTCGTGAGAAAGAGGAGCAACAACTTTGCTAAGGTTTGCTGAACAACTAAAGGATGGCATTCACAAAGCCAGCCCTGAAATCCCAGGGAATTTTACCCTGTTGTGTTGAAAACCTGAAAGCAAATCGAACTAACCCACTTGAAAACTAAACCCACGAGCCCCTAAACCCCTTCAGGCGTGTGCTAACAAGCTTACAGAGGATTTGTCTCGAGGCAGCCCTCCTATATTAGCAGCCAATCAGTTGAGGAGCATCTGGTAGTAGATTTATCTGCTAATAGAGGCAACAGGAATGTGGAGAGGTGTGCATGGAGCTGAGGCTTCATGTACCTTCCAAAGTACCTTCATCACAAGGACTGTGTCTCATTCTCACACATTCCTGTATTTCCCAGGAAACTGGAAGAGGAAACATGGTCAAGAGGAACACAATGTAGGCTCTCCCTTCCATTCACGGGAATTTCACCTGCCTGCAATGGCTGTAGTTTTCCATCTTCATTCTTGGCCTCTAATAGGCTAAAGAAACCAAATCTCAGGGACTGAAATGCCCAGCAGATTACAGGACAAAGCCTTGCAAGACTCCATAAGCATCTCTGGGCAATGCCCAAATGCTGAGGGCTGCCCTTGAAATGCAAACAGCAAACCTTTCAGAAGGGTATTTGACTCACACCTGGTTGTGACCAAGTCCAGAAAATCACTTAAGGCATCTGCCACGGTCACAACAGCTTTCTGCACCACCACTGAATGAGCTTCAATGACAGCTCTCAAGCCCCCTGTGGAGATCACAAAAGTTGGAGAGAGATCTCCCAGCAGTTCAGTCATGGAGTGGATAGGGAAGTAAAATAAAGAAGAATTTTTTCAAAAGATTTCCAGCTTTTAACCAAATCCAAAAGCTCACTATCACTGAGAATCCAGTTCTAGATACATCCATCCTACAGTGCTGATCGGGATCACATCTGGAGAGATTCTGAACCAAGGGGTATTTGGTGAGAAGGCAGACACAGTGTCCGGCCACAAACCAACCCTGCCTAACTGAACGTCACAATTTTTGTTCCCTCCTTGTCAAAGAATAATTACAGAAAGTTTTGTTGGATTTTTTCCCCCTCCTAACGACTAAGCTGCCTCTCTTAAAATCCCGAGACATCGACTCTTATTTTTCATGGAAGATGGAAGGAGAGCTGAGCCTCTGCTCCTGCACTGCACCCCCAGGGCTGTCACAGAGATCCAGCCAAAGCCACAGTTCCCCACCTCCCCCTGGCCCCAGGCTGCACCCTCAGCAGCTGGAGCAGCAGAAGTGCTGGGTGTTACTCACTGCCATGACGAGCTCAAAGGGGTATTTGTAGACTCGAACTGGGGACTGGTATTTCTGCACCATTTTTAACCACACACCTGGAAGAGACAGAAATTGGAAAATTTTAGATCCAAACAGCGCAATACACTCTAAGCAATTTTTTACAGACCTTACTGGAAGCCTTAACTCTTTTTACGAATGGAGAGGAGATATGTTAGATAGAATATCTTGTTTAGTAAGTGGCAGAGACAGAAGAGACAAGTCTCTGCAGTCCCAGTCCAGGGCTGTGTCCAGCACACAGCAGCACCCTGGGCAGCTTCCCAACAACTTAGAGCTCCAACAACTCGCAATAATTAAAGCCCAAACCAGAGATGTAAAGCCAGAATCAATCATACTTCTGGAGAAGAAGCCTGACTTAGGAGCCTTAGGAAGCTTACATGGTGATTCTTCCCCATACCCCCCCCTTCCCACATTACATTTGTAATCATTAGGCAAAGTCCTCCCTGTTAAAGCTTCCACAGCTTCCCAAATCTCAGTGTTAAAATGCTTCTGTGCACAAAGCAGCCTTGAGTTGTTTTAACCCACTGAAAGGAAGGAAAAGGAAACAGCCTGCTGAAAGAACATGCCTGATGCTAAGCTGGCAATCACATCCCACTGCCTGGATGCCCACTGTTCCAGCTGAACTGAGGCAAGAGCTGCAGGCAAGGGGAACAATCCAGTCCTCAGCATTTCGCTGCTCCCAGCCACCTCTCACTGTTCTCATCAGGATTCCTCCCTCACACTCTCCTGCCAGGGTTTTAACCCTCAAATATGCATCAGTAACCAGCATCTCAAGGCAGCACATATAAACCATTAAAAAAAAAAGGTTATTAGGCTGCTTTCTGCAATTCCTTTAGGAATTCCTTTGTATTGCTCCCTCTAACACCATCTGTGAACACTGGGAGCACAAAAGGCTGGATGGCTGGTTGGAGACTGTGCTGATTCCACCCCACTCAAATTCCACGGCTAAGCACACACAGCCCTCGGCAACACGACAGTCAGAGCAGCAACACAACTTATCCCTGACATTTTAAGCCCAAAACCTGAGCTGGAACGTGAATTAAAAATGCAAGCAGCAGTAGATACTCCCTCAAAGACTGCTGCAAAACGCCATTGCACAGTGAAATCTAAGCAAGGGAGAGGGGGAAAAGGACTTGAAACAAGTTTGAGTACCTGAGAGGAGGGAATGTCTGTAGAAATAGGGTGGCACAATCAGACAGTTCCTCTGCAGAGGATCACCCTATCCAAGGAGCAAAGTCCAGGACTCACTGGATCTCTGAGTCTGGCTGGTACTAAAAGCCAGTCCAGTGGTGCTGAGCCAGTCAGTGCAGAGAGGACTCATGAGCAGAGCATCCAGCCCCCAGCGCAGCGAGCGGGGCAGGGCCCAGCACACCCCGGGCAGCGATCAGGTATCGGACACCCGAGCCAGGGGGCAGCGGGCACCTTGGAGGGCAACACTGTAACATGATTAGGGCAGCAGGAACCTTCCCAGCCAGAGCAAGCAGAGCACGAGGAGCCGGGGAACGTATTTAGCTGGGATCGTGCTCCCTGTTCTGACCTCGCTGTTCCAGCAGGAGTTCCTGCACCTTTGCAGGAGAGGGGCAGGGACCTCCGCAGCAGGAAGTCTGAGGACAGAGCAGTCGGTCTGGAATCACCCACAGCCCAGAAACGAAGTCACAGAACGACAGGATGGCACAAGCTGTACTCAGCAGCCTTCAGGGAGCTGCTTGGACAGAGCCCCTGCTCCCCTGGCAGCAGCTGGACCCGACTGCCACAGGGTTATTGCCCTCTACTTCTCCAGCTGAGGCAAGGTTGAGAAAAAGAGCCAGTGACTATTATATCCACAGGGAGCTGTGGAAACATGACAGCTGAGAACTCTCACCTGCCCCAGAAACCTTTCGTACCTCGGGAGAGCGCAGTGGCAGCAGAGCTTCTATGCCCTCTCCTCAAAACAGAGATGCAAGACAGTCATTCTGCTCCTCAAGGCACCAGGGACTCCTGCCATTATTCCTGGAAAAAAAAGGAAAAAACCATCAGAAGAGGCAGTGAAAGGTGGGTACTCTGCACACCAAGCTACAGGTGATGATCAGCACTGATGAGGACAAAGACTCCCAGGTGTTACCACTGGGCAGCTCCAGACCTGCACCCTCCCAGGGCTTTTGCACTGAAGAGATGTGCTTTTAAAGTCACCTCATGTGTTCCACTCCAACTATAAACAGATATATTCAACTGTCTTGTAAAGAAAACCAGAAAGAAATGACACAACCCCAGAGTGTATCTGTTCCTTAAATATCCATCCAACTCCAGCTCTGCAGTGGCCCAGGCTTCCTGCTCCACTTCCTATTTGCAGCTGGCTAAAAAACAATATTAGGAAACACAGCTCAAGTGATGAGCAGTGACCCACTAAACTGCAGCATGACCACTCAGAAACCCCAATCCACAGCTGGAGCATCCAGAGGGTAACACCAGGGAAGAGCCGGATTCCAGCTGGCCCAGCCTGGAGCAGTTGGTAAAAATTCAGAGAGGTCGGAGTTGTCGATACATTGAAGCAACAGATCTAGCTAATAACAACCATTCCAGCAATGACAACTTTAACCATCCCAACAGATACGGAAAATATTTCCATTCTTGCACACCTGAACCCAGGAAACAGCCACTGCATTTCACACAGCAGAGACCCAACAGCCTTGGCTCCCCACGGCCCCTTTTGCTACAGCCCACACAGTAACCCCCCCACCAACCAAGATATTATAGATTAAACACACATAAAGCCCCAAATCAAAGCCCTCCACCCCTGCCTCTCATCCAGGCACAGAACTCAGGGGGCTCATTCCACGTGTGAGCTGCCTGTCGGACGGGGGAGCTGGGCAGCAAAGTGACTTCAGCAACTTCTCCCACCTGTGGTGGCTGCTTTTCAGCTGCAGGAGAACAACTGAGCACGTTCTTGCAGGGGTTCTTTTGTTTTGCTTTTGACAGAGAACCGCTGAAAATAGCAGAATTCCAGACTTCCTCAAAGAGACACGTGAAAGCCAGCTGTGGCACCCAGCTACGCTGATATCTCCACTTAGAAAAGAGAGACTCCACAGGGTTCTAGTCCTTCCTCCCCCTCCCCTTCTGGAGAAAGGGGGAGAGAAAGGTGTGTGACGTTTCCTCTGCCTGAAATGCCTTTCACTTAGTGGCTGATGAGTCAGAAATTGATGCTTTATACACATAATAATAAGATGGTACCAAGCTGTAGGATATTTATTAGAGCTTCTTCACCTCAGAACTTAAGAATGAGTCGTTCGAAGCTTGACACAAGGAAGCCTCGAGGTGGAAGGGTGCCAGAATAAGCCTTTACCATCTTTTAGAAGCAGACATCTGTTCAAGCAGGACTTGATCTCAACCCCCTGAGAAACACCTGTGGTGCAGGGGTGAAGCAGTGGAGCCTGGGCACTGCTCTACACACCTGGCAGAGGTGCCTGGAGTCCTGCTGTGGGTCACAATCAACACAAACACTCAAACAACGACATCCACACAAGTCTGTACCACACAGTCAGGTCTTTTTGGCTGAGGGGAAGGAGAACCCAGAACAGCGTCCAGCACTCTGCCCTCAGAGCCTGGGAGAGCTGTTCTCTCCCGTGGATGTATCAGAACAAGCTCCACGCCTAACACTGACACACCTTCACCTCCTAAGTTAATTTTCTCACCAAAGAATCACCACACAACTTTTGTGCACAGCAACACACCAAATCCCTGACATTTGCCAGCCCTCAGCAGGAGATAAGAATTCCTGAAGGAGAGCCGCTCGTTCCTCACCCCGCTGTTCCATAGGAAGTCACACCACACCATTTTATCCATCCACACTATAGCAAGTAATTCAGTACTCAAATAGAAATTAAGAATGGAGACAAAGAATCACAGATTGGGTTGGGTTGGGGGGAGATTAAAGCTCATCCAGTCCCACCCCCTGCCACGGGCAGGGACACCTTCCACCGGCCCAGGTTGCTCCAAGCCCCGTCCAACCTGGCCTTGGACACTTCCAGGGATCCAGGGGCAGCCACAGCTTCTCTGGGCAACCTGTGCCAAGACCTCACTACTCTCACAGCCAACAATTCCTTCCCAATATCCATCTAACCCTGCTCTTGCACAGTGGGAAGCCATTCCCTGTGTCCTGTCTCTCCATCCCTTGTCCAAAGCCCCTCTCCAGCCCTTTTAGTCACTGGAAGCCTCCCTGGAGCCTTCCCTTCTCCAGGTGAACCCCCCCAGCTCTCCCAGCCTGGCTCCAGAGCTGAGGGGCTCCAGCCCCTGGAGCATCTCTGTGGCCTCCTCTGGACTCTCTCCAGCAGGAACACATCTTTCTTTTGCTGAGGATCCCCCTCTGTGCTCCTGTTTAACACATAAAACAGCAGTAGATCCAGGCAGGAGGTCACTTGACTGCAGCAAAGCACCAGCATCAAACTGTTTCAGCCTGCCTTGAGTGAAGTTCACAGCTGTACTTTGAACACAGGCTCTCATTATCCCAGCCTGATCAGTGGTGCCATCAACACAACCCCCTTCTCACAACCTACAAGCCGATTTTACTACTTGGAGGAATTAAACCAAATGACCCAGAGAACATATTTGGTTTACCTGGAAGCTGAGCTAAAAACATACAATCACAGACTAGTTTGGAAGGGACCTTAAAGTTCATCCTGTTCCGCTTCTTGCCACGGGCAGGAACACCTTCCACCGGCCCAGGTTGCTCCAAGCCCCATCCAACCTGGCCTTGGACACTTCCAGGGATGCAGGGGCAGCCACAGCTTCCCTGGGCAACCTGTTAAATCTGTCACTGCATTTAAAGGCCATTTACCAGGGTTACCTTTTGAATTCACAAATACTTCAGGGCTAGTTTCTGGGTAGGTTTTTTAAGCCCCAAGCCCTGTGGGGAGCTCAGCAGGCGCCGTTCCCGGCTCTCCAGAGCTGATGCCGGGTCCCACTCACAGCCCCCTCCCTGGCTCAGCCCATCCTGGGCCAGTGCCCATCCAACCCCCTCCAAGCAGGACACAAACCTGACAACTTTCACAGAGGGGTATCTTTTCAGTAGACCCGAAGAGACCTCCCAGCAGCCTGAGCCCACCACCCGGCTCTTCACCGGCTCCCTCCCTGATCCCAAAGGATTATGGCTAAAATTTCCCTATCGGTTTGTCGTATCTGAGGGACAGCAGCTCGCGGCACCCCCTC